ACCGCCAACTCTTGGGCTACTCTTTTACCAACGTCACGTTATAACGCCCCACGGCTGAAGGGCGAGCATGTTTGGTGTGATGGGGATTCGAACCCGCGACCCTCAGATTACGAGTCGAGCTCCCTAACCACCTGGCCATGCCGGGCCAGGAACGAAATTGTAAGAGCGTTAGATACATCTGCGTTTCTACAAGGTATTTATAAGTATAATTTGTTACGTTGATCATAATCTGTTGTTACCTTATACATTTAATATTGAAGATAAAAACGACTTTAATAAATATGTCATTTATTTTACGTCGAAAATTTTGAATACATATTGCACATTATTGTAAAAATAATGAAATACTTTTTTGCTTGTGGGTGCGTTATAAAAGTGACGGTCAAATTCCATTACTGAATGAAAGTAGCTCACGAGTTGGCGGTGGGTTGTGTTGACTAGCTGCTTTCCTCCCAGTTTATCACATCAAAACTAGGGACCGCTAGTGGAGTTAGTCTCCGAGTGGCTTTACGTGAAATTTGACAAACAAATAAAGCTAGTAATTTCATAAATATTTCATAAAATCCTCTTAAGTTTTATTAGGTGGAATATATTTGAGAACTATTGGGGCCGGGCGTGGCTTTGTGGTTAGCGTGCCCAGACTATGAATTCAAAGATTATGGTTCGTATCCTGTTGCCCCAAAAAGGTTTCTGTAGTTTGTGGTCTTATGTTGGCTATAAGAATAGCAGTCAAATCCCAAAAGAATTGTCTAAGATTTGGCATTCGATGTTATTGAATAGATTAGGTGCTGTTCATCTAATATAACAATTCAGAACTAGGGACGGCTACGCGCAGATAGTCTTTTGTGTAATGGTACAATCTCGTACTGTGAAACTTTGTTTTTAATACGAAACTTAATTTTGATCTTGAAGTTGCTCAGCATGGATTCCTGAAAACTTAGAGTAACTGATTATATTGATTTCTGGTGCATTAATCTTTTTTTAGGCACACACACACACATACACACCGTATTTGTATAAAAATAATTTTCAGATATTCATGTTTCGTTTAACTTTGTATGAAATTGTTTGTTGGCATGTTGTTATTTCAGGAAGTGTGATTTGAACTTAAAGTTTCAAATAAAAGTTAATATAGTTTCATTTGTGCAATTATAGATGGCGCTAACTCAAGATTCTGACTTTAATTAAGTTATCGTCTAAAAATGAAACTTCGATCTCTTGTCTCCAAAGGTAATTTTAAGAAAAGAAGATAAGGTTTAATAAAAGTCATAAATAACTCACTTCAGAGTTTGTTGACTCTAAATTCGTTTCTTTTTATTTATTGTGTGGGCATATAAACGGAAAGACACCCTTCCCACGGTATTAAACGTTGGTGTAAATGAAAACACATAGTCGTTTCAAGGTTGTTTTTTTCTCTCTCTCTCTCTCGACAGGTTGAAGTGATAACTGTCAGCTCAGACATTGCAAACAGTGATTCACTTGCTGTTGTTGTCAGTAACCAAATGGGGAAATCAGCATCAACGGTGTCTAATGCAGAGACTGGGCGTTCAACATACAAGGAGGACATTAACATTGGTAATGTGATGCAGGCGGAGGCGTCTGCCTCTTAGTGACTTGTTAACCAGATTTCAGTATTTAAATTCGTCTGTCCTGCTCATGCGCATCAACTGTGTTCCATTTTGGGTGGTAGCACACAACAAGTAAACTGTGGATATGTTAGTCTGCATCTGAGGGCTGTACCTGCTGTAGGACTTTTATAAAATATGATAAACTAAAATATTCTGATGACGACCATATTTTCTGTGGTATTTTAAACTTATAAAAAATTCACTAATATTTTAAAATATAATTTCAATAAACTTTGCACCACTACGTAACTGTAAAACAAAATTACATAAGTAAAATGCTCTGGTATATCACGAATAAAAGAAAATTCGTTTGTGACGATTTCATTAGTTGTTGTTTTGTTGAGTTATAAGTATTTTGTTTCTGTGAATTTTTCATTAATAGTGAACATAGAATGCAAATAATTGAAACTTACAAAAATTGGTGCTCGTTTTAAGTACTTGTGATTTTGTGTTATATTAATCGTTTTGTCTTTGTAGTAACACATTATTTAACGTCATTGCAGTAACTGATTACCTTCTCAGTGAAGGCGTTTTTTCTAAAGTATCTTATTTTATATAAGTTATAGGGAATTATTAAAGGTTTTAGTGTAAAAAAAGAAAAAGAAAGACAGTCACTAAATTTGTGTTATTTCTTCAGTAGTCCGTTAACTACCAAGTCTTTTACTTGTAATGTGGTTAATATTGGTCAAAAGATCTTTAGTTTTAGAACACGTGGAATATCATCGTGAGATTTGGATAAGAGAATCTTATGGGCATAAAAACATTCAGGAAAATGAAAGCGCTTTTAATGTCAAGGTTAAAAAGTAATATTCCACATCTCTTTAAACTTGAGAAAAAAAACGTACGTTATTCGAGCTTATGTTTAGTATCTTGGATGTTTTATGTTTGTTATTTAGCTTATGCTTGACTTAGTCTATTAAGGTTATATAGCGTAACCAACTTTTAACACAGTAGCTGCTGGTAAGCTGCATAACCAATTAATAATTCTGTACGGGGTTTGAAAGATAAGACCTCTGTTAAGTTCAAGTTATCATAATATATTCACGTCACTCGTCACAGAAAATTAAGATATTTGAAAACGTTTGATATCTGAAACGGGAGTATCTTTCAACATGGTTGTTAATAATAGTAATAAAGAAATACGTCATATGAAATGTTATTTCTTCATCTAGTTTAGCTATTTTTTCACACAACCACTACTGTGGTTATGAGCCCCGATATTGGGGGAAATAACTCGTTGACCCTGGATATGGCAAATACGTTGTTGTTGATGTATTGTACACTCTTCTTGATTTCTTTGTTTGTAATTAAGCACAGAGCTACACAATGGGCTATCTGTGCTCTGCCCACCACGGGT